AAATATTTACAATATTAAGACATCATTTGATTCTAATTTAAATGATATTTTATATATACAATACACACACACACACACACACACATATATATATATATATATATATATATTCGTATTTCTTTAATATGTGATTTACATATACCATACAAAGTCGAGGGACTTGACTCAAACATCAACTCAAACTTGAAAATCAATCTACTAATTACTAATTTTTTTAGTTATTCGAGTTTTAGTTTACAACTCAATTTGAACTTGAAATTTTTTCGAGTCTAGTTTATGAAATTACAACTCGAAATCAATTCAAGTCGAGTTTTTTCAAGTCAAATCGAGTCGAAAAAATCATCGAGTTTTGCTTACCCCTACTCAAGGGAATATTTCGTTTTTCTTTGTATCTTTGAGTTTAATATTTTTATTTTTGTATGAGTTTTTTTAGTGACTATTATCCTTATTTTTCTCTCTATACTTGTATGTATTGTAATTCTGATTTTTCTATTATTTTTATTAATGAAATTCAATTTTCATTATTTCAAAAAAAATGAAGTGATACAATCCAAAAATTCACACAATATCACAAGAAAGTATCATATTGCAAAAAATTATTCTTTTAAAAATATTCAGATTATTCTAAAATATTTTAAAAATTATATGTTAAAAATGAATATGTTTTAAAATTATTTTATTATATAAAAACATATTTTAAGTTTTGGTAATTTTATAATTTTTTAACTGTTATCATTTATAAAATTCTAAATTATTTATAATTTTTTTATTTTTTCCGAGTGGTAATTTGATACATATTTTGAAAAAAGTAAATATTTAAAAATAATAATTTAAAAATTTAAAAATTTTAATATACATTATATTATAATCCCATTGACTTTTCAAAAATAATAATAATAATTCAAGTAATTATTTTTCGTTTAAGCTAATAAAAAATAGATCAAAATTGATTTTTTCCTAAGAAAAAACTTGTAACAGCAGCTAGGATTAAACTTGACAGGCCCCCTTTTATGGCATCGCATGACCCAGCCCATGGCTCAGTTCCCCCTCGCCTTCCTTTTTCTCATATTTCTTCTTCGTCGTCCCGGAGCCGCACCCAGAGGAGAACAAGTCGGCCACCAGCCATGGACTTGGAGCTGAACTACGAAATCAGTCGCACAGCAGAGTTCATATTAAGCAGGAACTTCACAAGAGTTGCTTTGCAGGTACTAACCAATTATATCTATTTTTCTGACTTGCTTTTTTTTTCTTTATTTGTTTTATCGGTTGAATTAAAAATTGGGCTTTGGATTCCAGTTCCCAGATGACTTGTTGAAACATTCGACCAAGGTTGTTACTTGTATGAGAAACAAACTCGGGTCGGGTAATAAAATCGGGTTATTTGTAATGGCAGACACAACGTTTGGAAGTTGTTGTGTTGATGAAGTTGGAGCTTCCCATATCGGTGCCGACTGCGTTATACATTATGGGCATACATGTCTCAGCCCGTAAGCACTCTCTTTTTCTAAATTTGTTTTCTTCTTTGTCTTTGTGGGAAACTTAGATGTAGTTTTATCAATTCTGGGTATCATGATTTGAACCTTTCTGCTTAATAAATATTTGGTTTCTGCCTTATCCTTGTTAGAGCTTAATATAAAGTTGGTCGAATAATTGGGTTTATCCAACTTTTATTTTGGCTTCTTGTATTATTAGACCAGAGGTTTTGTGTTTCAATCCTGAAAATATTGTATCTTAGTACTTAATTTCTTCATTTAGTGTCTTGACAATTGAGCTTTTCATGCAACGCTCTTTAATCTTTCATTAGCTTGCACTGTTTTGAAGCACTCAGGTTCACGAGCCAAACCCTTTAATCATCTATCTGGTTTACCTCTGATGGTTGTGTCGGAAATAAGTATAAAAATGGGTCATATCAGCATGTCCTACTATAATTTGTCTTCCACCATCTCTTTGACAATCTTATCTCAGTTATGCTATTAAGTTGCATAGCGTCATGTGATTTTGAATCCAAACTTATAGCAGGAATTATTTTGTATTTCCATTAAGATTCAATGAAGTTCTGCACCAACTATTAAGTCCCTGATAAATAGGATCTTTGATGACGTGGTGAAGTGAAACTTTTAAGAGTTTAGAGCACTTCCAGGGAGAAGCTAAAGTTGATTGATGAATACTGAAATCCAAGTCTTGCGATTTTTTTTGAAGGTTTTGGTGTGCCAAAACTTGAGAACGAGTCTAAAATTATTTTTCCTTCTAAAAACATGTTACATTGGACGAGCTTAAATTACCTTGACCTTCTACTTTTTGCTCATAAGGAAATGATTAAGCATCTGGTTATACTTCAACTACATCATGCCACCAGCCCACCACTTGTAGCTACATCTTTTCCCACATTAACATTATCCTGTGATTTTTCCCTTTCAGGACCTTGTGATCAAAATCAATTTTGATTGGTCAAACTGTTTATTTCACCTAATAAAATTACCATAATACCTTCCATTAATTAGTATACTATATATTAATATTTAAGGGTGTTTTCATAATTCTTTTTTCATGTAAAACTAACAGTGTAATTTTGTATTGGAACGGAACTTATCCACATGAGGCCATGTCTTCAAATTATGGGGGTCCAGGTGGAGTTTATCCCTAAGAGTTAGACTAGTAAGACAATTTATGTTGCTCGAAAATTAGTTATAAGTATATTAGTGATTTTTGCAAGACATAGCTGCCATTGAGGTTATCTTGCATTTTATGGGATTGTTCATTAGGGTTTTGAATTTAGTTTACTTCTTTGTTTCTATGTGTTAAGGTTTTTTCGTGTAATAGTTCAGTTTAAAGATTTTTCATTTTGGAAACGGTTCAATTTATATTTCTTTTCACCTGAAGATTTTGCGCTCATACTTCATATATTTTCTTATCAAAGATATTTTTTGTTGCAGAACCTCAACTCTTCCTGCATTCTGTGTTTTTGGAAAGGCTTCAATCAGCATATCCTGCTGTGTTGAGAAGTTATCGAGTTACTTTGCAACCAATGACAAACCTATTGTGGTATGATAAGTAATGCCAATTTTAGGCCATTTTACATTGTGATAAAAATATATAATAGATAGTTTACCTCATATGTGTCCTTATTTTTGTTGAACCTAATATTTTTTCCTACTTCTGTATTTTTAACATGTAAATCATATATTAATATTTAGATAGGAAAATTGTATAACAATCTAGTTTCAGTCGAGGACGTGAGATATTTTTGGAGTTATGTATTGACTTTCCTATTCGCTTTGAGCTCTCTCTCTCTGTGGAAAAGAAAAGATATAAAATGAGTTAAGATAAGAGAAAATTAACAATGGATGCATAGTAAATGGTTGGGTCGCATCAATTGGAGACCCAATGATTGAAATCTGTTTACGGTGGTTTGGACATGTGAGGAGACCTACAAATGCTTTTGTTATAAGATTTCATTCTCTCTGGCTCTTGAAAGGTTGTCTAAACAATGTGTTGGCCACTTTATTTTATTTATTTATTATTATTTGTCTACATCAATGTTAGCTTAGTGGCAATAACGCCCAAAGTTGATTGCTATGTGTTATTCATAAAATTAATAGAAGAGTCATTATGGTCTTTCTCTGTTTATGTATCCGTTGTACGATGCTTTATTTTTCTCTTTCTAATTTGTTAAAAGTCTTCTTCACAACATGCAAGTAACATATGCTAAGATGAGAAGGAAACATTAGCTAAATGCCAAATATTTACACAAATGGCATTATCGTCATGGTTGATTCTTATAAATCACTTGAAGGATTTTGAGTGAAGGGTTCAACATGTAATTTCTATGCTGATTTTTCCCTTTCCTCAAGTTTAGAATTCCTATATTGTTTTTGGATATTACAGGTTCTTTATGGGTTAGAGTATGCACATGCAATAACGCAGATCAAAGGAGCATTGGTGGAAGCTATGCCCAAGACCAAAGCGGAACTTATTTTTTCTGATGTTATGTGTTCCATTATTAGTCCATTAGAAGATAGGAAATCTGATGGACTTCAAGGATGTCTAGGCATCTATTCTTCTGGTAACAGTTTTGGTGCGGCTACTGGTACTAGGTATAGCCTAGGAGGCTTGACATGGGATCTAACAGAGGGACAGAGAATGGAAGACTACTTTCTTTTATGGATTGGGCCTGAAAATTCAGCTTTTTCCAATGTTGTGCTGACATTTAATGGCTGTGAGATAGGTAGACATATTGCCATGCTTGTCCCAAGATATTTCCATATTTGAAAATTATAATTATTGATGCATTAATTCCTGATGTCATAGAAGTACAAAACCATGGAGCAAGGAAATTTTACTTATTTGCATCTATGGACATGCATTAACTTTATTTGCTAGCTTTCTGCAAGTTGGTGAATTTCTATAATTCACAGTTGCATGTGTTCCTCTGTATCTAGGAAGTTAAATGATAGAATCCCACTTTGCATGTGATTTTATGCTGATTTCCTTCCATCTGATTATCATGCATTGATGCTTCATGTCACTCTGATTATATTATTCTTTCTTTTTGTTACACTATGCTCTTTTCCTTTTCTTCTTTTCTTTTTGTATGTTTTTGGTTCGACAGCTAGTATAGCGGTACCAGCTTGATTTCCTCTCCCCATGCTCTTGCTAGACTTTCTCAGACCTTTTAATTAAGGAAGCACAATTTCATCTAGTTGACACCCCCACCTTTTTTTCTCCAGTGATGCTCTTGGCTAATCAGCTTCTTCTAGTGATCTATGTACACATTCAACAGTTATAGAAGAATATGCTATTTTTTTCTAAATGAAAATCTATATGTTTATTGTTTGGTCTTTTTTTAGTCAGATATAATGCAACAGAAGATCAGTTAGTGACGGATGTTTCGCAACAGAAGAGGATCCTTAAGCGTAGGTGTGCCTTTCAACTTTTCATGCTTCCTCAGCTCACTACTTTTATCTACTCTTTTCAAAATTTTCTAATTTTCTCTTTCCAAGTTAACGTCCAAAATTGTAGTCTGATTAGACCCACCAGTCCACTAGTTACATGATACATTCTATTGGCTTTCCTTATGCCCTACCAATGCAGTATTGTGTTACTTGTTTTGCACTATGTGACTGGTGTTTCTTGAAGCAGATATTATCTAGTGGAGAGAGCAAAAGATGCTAACATGGTTGGGATTTTAGTAGGAACTCTTGGCGTGGGTAAGTTTTCGCGGTGGTTCCTCCCGAACTAAAAGTTACGCAAAGGACACTCTTCCTTGTAATATCTTATTTTTCGAATTGAATTATGGATGCCTAATGTCTTTGTTGGGTTTTCGATAATAACCTATTCTTAATCATTTTGATCATGTTTATGTGCTTCCCATCTGTTGTTTGTAAACATACAGGTTAAGAGTATTGTTTTCACATATCAATCCACACATAAGCTACCCAACACGTGTTATATGTTTGTCCAGAATTGTAATGCTTACTTTTGTTTGCCTTTAGATTCTGTATATACTGCCCAAATCCATAGTTATATGATTTTTTATTTTGCATTTTCTCAGAGATGTCAGTAAAAACTTTTATTTTATTAAGGCTCAGCTAAGATTTGTATTTTCTTGTAATTTTTTACATGCATCAAAGGAATAACATGGAAACTTTGTACAGCGGGCTACCTTCACATGATTCATCAGATGAAGGAACTAATCATGCTTGCTGGGAAAAAGGCCTACACTCTTGTCATGGGAAGACCGAACCCTGCCAAACTTGCTAACTTCCCCGAAGTAACCTCTGAGACATTCTCTTAGATTGCCTTTATGGTAGGAAGTCAAGGACATCATGGTTGATAACAAAAAATTGCATTTTTTTTGCAGTGTGATGTTTTCGTATATGTCTCCTGTGCGCAAACTGCACTTTTGGATAGCAAAGAGTTCTTAGCACCTGTTATTACTCCATTTGAAGCCATGCTAGCTTTCAGCAGGTGCATAACCATTAAATTTTTTTAATTTTATGTTTTATTTGTTCAAAATTGTTAATTTGTTCTGTGTTGTATATTTAGTCAATTTCGTGAAATTTCTCATGGTATGCAACTGTGATGCTCTATTGATCTTGCTATAAAGTAGTCCATTTTGTCTTCTTTTGACTTAATAAAGAGAAAAAAATAAAGGAATTCTCAACAAAGGTTGTCTATAGGTTAGATGCTTCTTGGTACTATTTCCCGTGTATGCTTACTTGAGATCTACTGAACATTAACTACTGTTTTCTTGTGATTTAATATTTGAGAAAATATAGATGATTTCTCCCTTTGTTACACATTTTAGTTTTTACTTGTTTATATTCTGTTAAGTCGAACCAATTTGAGGAGAGATTGTGCCTTTGAAGTGTTATATCATATAGCATGAAAACCTCGTAGGTGAAATGCTCTGGCCACACATACAAGTGTTTGTAGTTAAAATCTCTAGAATTCTAATGCATTTTGGATATTTATTTTGGGTATTTCATTCTTCAGCGGAAGCCAATGGACAGGAACATACGTAATGGAATTTCGAGATTTAATTAATTCTTCTCAGTTGGAGGTAAGCAAGTGGCCTGAAGAAGCACGCTTTTCCTTCCTTAAAGGTGGATATGTTGAAGATTTTGAACCCCAAGGTACATATCCCTCACTTTTGATTACATTATCGGCGGAATTTCAATTTTTACTCTTTAGTTTCAAAAAATTACTCCGTGACTGCGTAATGCTTCAGTTGTTTCCTTTTTTGCTTTTAAAATAATGGCTTTTTACCTATAGAACACTGTTATTGTTTTCATGGTATCTGTTTGCTTGAGTTGTTGAGCTATGCCTTTCTACAAGGTTGCATTGGTGGGAATATACACTCTGGAAAAATATTTCAGAACTTATTGTTTTCGCCCCAACTTTGCTTGTTAGTGTACTTTTACATGATTAGCAGCATTTTACAGGCATAAACAGATCGATAATTTTGGTTGTAATGTTATACAGAAAACGGAGACGAAGATAATGATGGTACTCTTGCTTTAGCTAATGCAACTGAGAAGGCTCTGCGATTGCATGACCGAGGCCCTGATTCCCTTGTCAAAGGAATAGCTAAATTTGGAGCTGAATTTTTCGTGACTCGATCTTATCATGGTCTTGAAATGCATGCCAACAGTTCATCGCCGGAGCCATATTTAATTGGAAGAAGTGGAAAGGCATCAGGTTACAAAGACGAGAAAAGTGAGCCTGGAACTTTGCAAGTTCCAGAACAGAAAGAAAAGGAAATATTGGGGATTGTAGAGCCAAATAGGCTTTGAATGTAGTGATGAGCCGATGACTTCGAACCGAGGCGAGCATGGCCTGGTAGAAATGAAGAAGATATTATACATTTTAGGCGGGTTGAGTAGTAAGGAGGAGCAAGAAGTCAACCCTGAGCTTATTGGTTCAGAAATGGCTGAAGCTCATCCATGGAGTGTTATTGCAATAGTGGATGAATGTATTGGTTCATAACAAATTGCTGATTGTTCACCAACAGTGCATTTTTCCTATACAGTAACATAAAATATGTCAACCGATATCTTCGATTCCAAAACTAAATTTTGCCTCTCTATCTGTGTCCATTGCTGTAACTTTGAACTAATATATACATGTATGAATTCATATATATTATATAGGATTTATATTTAGGATTAATCTTGAGCCAATATATAATTGATTTTACCACTACGATTATAGAATTTAATATTGATTTTGGATTCAATATCACTTTTTCTATAAAAACTTAATATCTTCTAATAAAATAGTGATATGTGTCATTATTTTATTGAAGGAATTTTAAATGCACATAAATATATTTAAATCAATTTACAATATAAATATAATGTTTATAATTTTAAAGTATTTATAAAAAAATGATATGTATGTCGTATCAAACACTGAAGAAATTGTCGTCACATTTTTGTTACATCAAAAAAAATGGCTGTCCCTTTTTCCCATATATATGGAGTAAGGGGGAGGTAAGATAGTAGGCTACTCCCAACACCAGGTTGAGAGCAGCTTCCGTAAGAGACCTCCGAATTATGAAATGCCCTCCGTGGGACTCGATCCCACGACCTTAAGATTAAGAACCTTGTGCTCTACCAATATTGTTAAAATTTACCGTCTCAATATTTACATCGAACTCATAATCAATGTTTAATGCTATAATCATATATATTTTTAGTTGTGATAAAATATATATTATGCACTAAAATTCAGTAATATTTGATACAGTTTGTCATAACCATTTTTTATAAAACAAATAAATATTATTTTTAAAAATGATTATGACAGCTTGGCGACTCCGCTGGGGAGAGAGAGACGCCCAAAAAGCTTCCTCTCTTCCTTAGCAACCCGAAAAACACCACACCTTTGCCTAAAATAGCCTATACGAACCTAGATCTAGGCTTTTACCTCTTGGAGGCTTCGAAATCCGATGGCCTTTTCGACTCCTCGACGAGCAAAGGACGTGGTAAGAACCCTTTTGACTCCTCTCTCCTTTTTCATTTTTTTTTGCAAAACCCGAATGGCCCTTTTTTGAATTCGTTCCCTGCTTTTTATCTCATTGCATGTATGATATGGTGGGTATTTGGTGGCTGAATGATGATAACTAGAACTAGGGTCTTGATTTCTCTGATTATAGCTGAGTGAAATCCCGATTTTTCGGGATTTAGGGTAATTTAAAAATGGGTTCACTGTTTAATGGATTGATCATTATGGTGCAGGTGTCTACGGCGGCGTCAGAACTGGTGGCTGCAGCAACAGAGAAGTAGGCGGCGGTGACAGAGCTATTAGGGTTTCAAACCCTATTTACCATCGATCTGGACCGTTGGATTGGTCCAGATCGAATGGCTTCTATTGGTGCGGCACTGGGACGACGACGACACTCACCCGGCTGGGGAATGAACGGTGAAGTCCACTTGCTGGCTGGAAGCTGGAGGGTTGCTGGCTTGAGTGGCGGCTGGCTTTAGTTTAGGGTTTGAAAACCCTAGTTAAACCGGGTTGATTCGGGTCCAATCTGAGCGGGTCTGGTGTTTGGGTCTCCTGGTGGGCTTGAACTGATATGTTGGGGTGGCCTGGGTTGGGCCTTGTAATTGGGTTCCAAGCCTACAAAAGTGTAATAATAATATTAAAATAATAATAATAATAATAATAAATTAAAATAAAATTAAATAGAAAAGACCCGGACAAAAACGGGTGTCTACAGCTGCCCCTCTTTGCACATTCTTGTGTTAACAAGAATAGGGCAAAGACGAAAAGACATCACGTTTTTGTCTGGTTCTATCCCTTTTAAACTTAGAAATTGGATAATGTTGGTTGTTGGGGACGACACTGCTCATACGCGATGAAGAGTTCGGGTCGTCCAAGGGTGGATGACACGGCTCATACGTGATAAAGAGTTCTGGTCATCTTTAGGAAGGGTGATAACTCGATTCCTACGTGATGAGGACAACTGGTTATCTAAGGGTGATACGGCTCCTACGTGATGAGGAGATATGGTCGGGGATGACACGATTCCTACGTGATGCGGACAACTGGCCATATTTAGGAGTGGTGATAACTCGGTTCCTACGCGATGAGAACGACTGGTTATCTACGGTTGACGCGGCTCCTACGTGATGAGGAGGTATGGTCAAGGGATGACACTACTCATACGCGATGAAGAGTTTTGGCCATCTTTAGGAAAGGTGATAACTCGGTTCCTACGTGATGAGGACGACTGGTTATCTAAAGTTGACGCGGCTCCTACGTGATGAGGAGGTCTGGTCGAGGGATGACACGGTTCCTACGTGATGAGGACGACCATCTTTAGGGATAATGATTTCAAAAGAAACCGACTCAAAGATAATTTGTTTCAAAAGAAACTGTCTCAAAAGAGACAAAACTCGTTTCAAGGGAAGCGACTCATAGATGACGTTTTAAAGGAAACTGTCTCAAGCGAGACAAAATTTGTTTTTAAGGGAAACTCTCAAAGATCGGTGTTTCATAGGAAACTGTCTCAAATGAGACAAAATTTGTTTCAAGAGAAACGATCTCAAAGATGTTTGTTTTGTTTCAAATGAAACAGACTCAAAGATAGTAAATTTTATTTCCAAAGAAACAGACTCAAAAATTTTTCTCAAAAGAAACTGTCTCAAGAGAGACAAAATTTTGTTTCCAAAGAAACAGACTCAAAGATAGGTTACGTTTTAAGTGAGACAAAATTTGTTTCAAATGAAACAATCTCAAAGGTTGGTTTTTCATTAAAAATTGTCTCAAGAGAGACAAAATTTGTTTTCAAAGAAACAATCTCAAAGGTTGATTTTTCATTAGAAAATGTCTCAAGAGAGACAAAATTTGTTTTTAAAGAAATAGACTCGAAGATGATTTTGTAAAAAGAAACAAACTCAAAGATTTTTTTTAAGGAACATACTCAAAGATTTGTTTCAAAAGAAACTATCTCAAGAGAGACAAAAATCATTTTAAGAGAAAAAGATTCAAATATTATCGATTTTGTTTCTAGGGAAACAATATCAAAGGTGTTTATTTTGTTTCAAAGGAAACAATTTCAGGATTTGTGTTTAAATGGGAAATGGTCTCACGCGAGACGAATCAGCTTTGAAAATCTCAAGTGATATTAATTTTGTTTTAAGTACAACAACTTTGAAATTTGTATTATGAGGGAAAATGTCTCAAGTGAGACGAATCAGCTTTGAAAATCTCAAATGATATTAATTTTGTTTCAAGTAAAACAACTTTGAAATTTGTATTATGAGGGAAAATGTCTCAAGTGAGACAAAATTTGTTTTGAACGAAACAACAATCTCAAGTGAGATTAATTTTATTTCATGTGAAGCAAATTCGAAATTTGTATCTCAAAGGAAAAAAATGTCTCAAGCGAGATGAAGTTTGTTTTAAGATAAATTGTCTTAAGTGAGACAAAATTTGTTTTTCAAGAACTGTCTCAAACGAGACAAAATTTTTTCAAGAAAACTGTCTCAAGCGAGACAAAATGTGTTTTGAGAAATTTGTCTCAAGCAAGACAAACTTTATTTTTGAGAAAATGATCTCAAGTGAGATCAACTTTGTTTAATGTGAAACAAATTCAAAATTTGTATCTTAAAAGAAAAATGTCTCAAGGGAAACGAAATTTGTTTTGAAAGAAATTGTCTCAAACGAGACAAAATTTATTTATTTATTTAAAAAAAAAAACTGACTCAAGCGAGACAAAATTTGTTTTTTAAAAGAAACTGCCTCTAGCGAGACGACATTTTGTTTCGAGAGAAACAAGATCAAAGGATACTGATAGTCTGTTTGTTCCTGGTGATGAAGGAAATGATTTAATTGTTGACTTCAGGAAGTCACATCTTTGGATGTCATTGTTCTTTCAGGTTGAATACATTTGGTCATTTCTGAGCTTTTATTTCCTGAAAGATCGAAATGGTATGTTTTTGACTGACTATCGTGGATGTTATGATGGATGTCAAGATGATATTTATTTGATTTTTTTTATTGAATTTGTCCTCAAGAGAGGAAAAAATATCCTTAATGCACCTGATGATAAATGTTTGATGCAACGATGCAAACTCATTTAACATGTATGTATGTGTATGTATGTGTTGATGTATGCTTGTCTTAATCTGTAAAGAGAATGGTTGCGAGAGCAATCTTCACTCTATCATTGATTCAGTTTGTCTACATTTTCACCAGTGTGTACTCTTGCAAACTTTGACCTGAGACAATTTGTTTTCTTTGTCCCATCAAATTTTGCCCCAAAAATTTGTCTTCTATTACCCTAGCTTCGATTATGAGCTTCAGAGATATATTTGTTGAATTCCAAGATACGCCTCCAGAGAGATTATCTTGTTTGAAAATGTTTTTCTTCTTTTTTTTTATTTTCAAAAGTCTGAAAATATCAATTAAAATAGTTTTGAAAAATGTTCAATCAAAAGATTTAAAAATATTGCACCTTTTAAGGTTTCACAATTGACAAATCATAGAACAAGAGTTCATTGGATATCAAAGAATTAATTACACTTTTAATCCTTCAATAAATTATAGCTATTTGACAAGTGTCAAGATCAATGCTATCTTTGAGATATGGTTAAGTAAGGAAGGATAAAAAAGTCTCAAGTGGTTATTTTTGGTCAAAGGTATGGTATTCTCATTTATTTGATGTTCACTGATATGATGGAGTAGCTTTTGTACTCAACTATTGGAAGTGTTCTCCGACTCCTAGCTCTCATGATCTTATTTGGGTTGTGTGATGCCTTATCAAGAGATTTATGCGATCGCCTTCTATGCAATAGTTGCACCATCTTCGTATTCGAGCCACCTTTTCAGGTTTTCAACTCGAATCCTCATTTGGTTTCAAGACGTTATTCAGAATTTACGTCTTGAACCCCCCTTTGTTATTTTTCTCTATCATGCATTAAAGATTTTAGAAAACCTTTTTTTTATAAATAAAAGATTAATCCTAATGGGTGAAATGAAATCTGAAGAGT